GCGCAACGCTCGGATCCAGCGAATCGCTCGATTCGCAAACTATGACGTCGGCCTCAGCCAGCCGCTCCTTCCTCGCCACAGTCGGAAGGACTTCCTGCAGAATTTGGTGACGGAGTGAGAGCTGTATTCTCTATGACAACAATAAGAGAGCCACTGACTGGCTCTCAAAAAAGTCAATCAGTGCAGCCAATCAGAACAGATCCGGTGGAAGGTTGCTGTGCCGCTTCTGAGGCTAGAAGGCAACCCTATACTACAAGCAGTTCTTTCAAGTCCAGGGAGCCACAGCTGTCATCTACAACAGTCTACTTCATAAAATCGTTCATGCAATTAAAGAGAAGCGACCGAGAAGTGTTTTTACGGACCTTTCTTCGGAGGGACACTCTTCAAGCCATGGTGTGAGTGGTTGTAACCCTTCAAAATCGATTTCGTGTAAAACTTTATAAGCGCTAGAAAAGTACGAGTCGGGCTCTCAAAAATTCACTTAGGGTTTGTGGAGAGCCGTTTTTCCTTTCGTTCATTTCGCAAAAATTTTCATTTTCTTCCAGAAGTCCATCCTCCATACTATTGCAATCTTCTTCGTTTCATTCATTCCAGAAACATCACAACATTTTTGAAACAGCCTTTGCTGATAACTCGAATTTAAAGCGCTTTGCACTAACAATCCCTGCCATGGTGTGCGCCGCGCCTGCGCTGTGCTTCTAATTCGCCGATGCATTTCAAAGTCGATATCGATTTCTCCTGCTGATCACCGCGGTTACGATTTCCCCCTCCTCCCCCCCCCTCGTGGAGCAAACAAAAAGTTCTTGCTAGTGGTTGCTGCGACGCTTTGGGAAACAAAGAGATAAATAAAAAAATTTCTCTTCAAAATATCTTTTCAAAATAAATGATTAAATTCCGTTCAAGCAATTACGATAAAGTGTGTGCAAGCATGGAATTACATGCACCAGTGGAAGCAGTAGTCAGAGGGCCTAAGGAAGAGATGTGGCCTTTTCGTGGCCAAAGGTGCGCTAGTTCAGCGCCCTGGGGCTGCCAATCCTTTCTGAGCTCCGCCTCCGCCTGTGCTCCGCCCCTCAGCAGATCGCTTTCGATTATCATTCTGATGAAGGTATTCCACTTCGAGTGCGTATCCTATAACTTTCCCATGGAATGCGTTATCAATCAAAGCATGATCTTTGCTGAATGATAGCGGCTATCGGTTTAACATGTGCAAACGACCTCGTTGGTTGCTAGCTCGTCCATTATCGGAGGTCAACGGGCAAAGAAAGGGTCCCATTTTGCGCGTTCTTGACGGATTTCTTTGCTTTTTTCGCCACTGGGCATTATTCCACATCCACTATGAACCCAATCCCATCT